ATCACTTTCTTGCTTTTAGGATCCAGCTTGTGACGATTTTCTTTGGGTACATTCAAGTACGCATCGGACCCAAAAACTTTTAAGTGCGTTACCTGTAGTTTACGACCGAACCACTGTTCGAAAGGAGTTGCTGTTTCGTCCACCTTTTATATCACCCTATTTAGAATATAACATGCCGTGTTAATTGCCTCTGGCCAAAGTTTACTATCGAACTTTTTTCCCAATAACATCGTTCTCGCACTGTCGACAATTGTCCTAATATGTCTTTCGGCTCGATCATTTTGCTCATGAACAAAAGGAGATGAGAACTCGTGAATGATACCTTTTTCACTCAGGTAATTGGTAAATTCAGAAGAAATGTACTCCCTGCCATTATCTGATTTGAGAACTTTTATTTTCGTACCTGTTTGTGTTAATACAAAAGCTTCGAATTCCTTGAATTTACTAAAAACCTCCGATTTTTGACGCAGAAAAAATATTTTTCTAAAACCTGTGCATTCATCTTTAAACAACACAAAATATCTATTCCCGCGCGGTGATTGTACATTATCTCAAAAGTTTGAACCAATTTGACATATCTGGCTTCGAATTCGGATTCAGCGGGAAAAAATACATGGAAATACACTAGTGTAGTGTGTTGGCCAAAAAAAATTTCGTTTTTTTGATTTTAACTAATTTTTTGAGCAGTTTTTTGAGTTTATCTCAAAAGTTTCAGCCAATTTGACATTTCTGGCTTCGAATTCGGATTCAGCGGGAAAAAATACATGGAAATATACTAATGTAGTGACATACAAACTTTTTTTTTAATTAGTTTTTTTGAGTCGTTTTTTGAGTATAACTCTAAAACAAGAGCCAATCTGACTATTCCGACTTCGGATTCGGATTCAGCGGCGAAAAATACATGGGAATATACTACTGTAGTGTCTCGGCCAAACCACTTTTTTTGTGTGCCTGTGATTATTGATGTCGGACAATCAGACAAAGAGTAAGAAACAGCCCGGTGAATTTTGATAATGCGCCAATATGTAGACCTATTAGCGCTATGATCGATGCAAGATCGCAGGACAAAACTGTTGAACTTTTACCCTAACCCTTATTCTAGGATTTTTGACCCTTTTATTTCTCGAAATAACGTCAAAAAATATTTTCCCGTTACAAACAAAAATCTAATTTTGCTGCAAAAATGTTCTTTGTTGGAATAATTAAAACTCATATAAAATTAAATTAAAAATTTTTTTTATTGCTTTAAAAATTCATTTACTATCTGGAGAATATGTTCTCAACTCAACTATATGAACGAAGTTTAAACTATATGAAGTTTAAATGCTTTTTTCTGGAAATGCAATTTTTTCCCGGCTGTGGAATATAACTCAAAAACTAAAAAACTGACTTCGAATTTAGTACAGTTATTTGCCAAATTCATAGCCATCAAATGAACCTCAAAGCTTGAGAAAATTCATTTAACAATTATTGTTATCAAAGATTTTTTATAAAAAAACAAAGTAATTTTTTTTTAAATGTCCTAGTTTCCAATTATTTTTTCTTTCGGTCAATTGAGGTTAGTTTGAAGTGAAATTTTTGCTGAATAAAAAATTTATTTTAATACCTTTAAACCTTATTTTTATAATGCACTTTAACTCATTTTAATAAATACTTTTAGTTGTTTCTAATAAATTCTTGAATAACAAGTCGTTTATATGAGGCTTCTTATTTAAAAAAATAAATATTTTTTATATACAAGGGTCATTCTAACAAAAAGGACAAATGACACGTTCATGACATTATTTTTAATAAATAATTATAATAATTGAAAATGTTGCAGGCCTAACTATAGTAGACAACAGGATTTAATGAGATTTTATAAAAAAAAATTGAAAATTTCAAATAATTGAATATAATCACGTTTATATAGTGTAAAAACTCCCCTCCGTTACCGTTCGCGAAGTTAGTTTTATTTAAAGAAGAATTCTTGTATTCATACTGCAATATAAAAACATCTTTTGTCTAGTAACATCTACTAATTACATTATTTGTAATTGATTTATAAAGCGTAAAACAGAATATCTTTAAAATATTTTTTCCTAGAATTAAATCAGTTTTGTTCGCAAAGTAAACTCCCCTCCATGACCGGTTACAAATATAATGAGTAAATGAAAAAAAAATGATAGTTGAGAAATGAAGAATTCAAAAGTGTTTACAGTGACGATGTTGTTTTGGTCAGTACACAACATCATGAAAGAAATGAAAACAGTAAGTGTCAGAAAGATTTTCAGTTTCGCAGTGTTCATCGACACAAAAAAAACTCTCCTCCGTGACCACTCTAAATTCAGTTTTTTGATTAATAATATTTATTATTTGTTTATCAGAAAACTGAATTTAGATTAATAATATTTATTATTTGTTTATCATTTTTAGAATATTGTTTTATTTGTATGATTTATCGCGAATACTATTATTACTTTTTTTTAAATTTATTATTTTTATATTAGATTCAATAAATTTTGGCTACGCCTAAAGGAAGAAAACTCCCCTCCGTGATCACTATAGTCACATCCATCGATTATACAGCCCCATGCAAAAAATGCACCTTTTTGTACCTCGAATTTTGAAACTTTCTTTATGCCAAATGGTAACACATGATGACCCAATAATCCCAGCAAAATTTCAAGATGAGCATATGCCCCTTTTAGGAAATACAGGGGGTCAAAGGGGGCCATGTCAAAAAAAAGAACATGCAATATTGTCGAATAATAAAGTTAAAAAAATCAAACGAAATGGTTCCTTCAAGATTTTCGTCTGCTGATTACAAATTTGAAGTCCGTTTTCAAAAATTTTAAATGGCGGATCCAATATCACGGACAACAATTTTAAAAATCGATCCAATTGACCTGAAACTGGTTACTCGGGGGTTTTTGGGGTCGCTGATTACAAATCTAAGGTCCGTTTTTAAAAATTTTTAATGGCGGATCCAATATGGCGGTTGACAATTTTAAAAGTCCATCGAAATTACTTGAAAATGGTTAGTCGGGGGGTTTCTGGGGTCGCTGATTACGCATCTAAAGTCCGTTTTAAAAAATTCAAAATGGCGGATCCAATATGGCGGACGACAATTTTAAAAATCCATCCAATTTACTTTAACATGGTTACTCGGGTTACCTTCAGATTTGTGTTCACCGACCTTGAAAAACCCTAATTAACGATTTTGAAGCCAATTAAATAGATTTAAAAGATATTCGTCCGCCATTTTGGATCCGTCATTTTGAATTTTTTAAAACTGATTCCAGATTTGTTATCAGCGGCCCCAAAAACCCACGAGTAACAAGATTTAAACGGATTCGGTCATTGTAGCGGCGACAAAATATTAAACAATTTTCGTTTACAGTGTTACCAACCTAAAACAATCAACAAAAATTTGACATCTGAGATGGCATGTTTTTGAAATCTTCACTGGAATGGCAGGTTTACCTAATATTTTTTAGATTGTCATGTTTCTCAACATTCGCCTGAATTGGCGTGTTTCTACCCTCAATCGACGATTTGTCCTTTTCGAGAGATTCACCCACAAATCTTTTTTATACAATCAATAGTTTTCACGAAAAACGAAAATAAAATTATTTTTAAATGAATTTAACCCAAAGGTACCTGGAATTTAATGTTATATAGCATATGATGTTCTAACAAAAAAAAATAATATTTCAGCAATATTGTAGTAATATTTCCGAAATATAACGTTCTATCTGGGTTATATACACGGAGAAAATCTGAAATCACTGAGTATTTTTTCTCACAGCACTGGCTACTGTGTAAACCAAAAAATTAAATTCCAGAGTTCTGAAAGTTCTCCACACAGCACTGAATGCTCTGCAGAAAATAATCACAACTTTTTTTGACAGTAATCAGAGTTTTGTTTCATATTAGTTGACAACAGATTATTCAGAACTACGAATGTAGCAATAAATTCTTTGCTCAAAGTTGTGACTGCTGTTCTCAGAGCTCTGAGTACTGTGTAGAATTATTTTTTAGGATTAAAGAAATGAAAGAACATTAAACCTTTAATAAAAAGTAGACAACAATTTTTAACAAGCGTTCAAGACAATTTTAATCAATTTTAGATGTTTTCTAATATTTTTATGAAAAACAGATTATTTGACTAAGATTATTTATATTTTTTTTACTTCAAGAGATAAATATTTAAAATAATAATGTTGAAACTTATTATTTTTTAATCATAATTATCTATAAATTTAGATTAGGTTGTAATTTGATATTAGCTAAGAAATCTTAAAATCTCAAAACTTGTGAAATACAAATAAATATTTAAAATTTACCTATAGTAATTTATTTTAAAAATAATTATTTATTATTTCATTATAATATAATAACTTTATTTGCTATATAACTAAAAAAAATTTTAAAACCGATAGTTTTTAAAAAGACTTTTTAAATTCTTCATTTCTGTTATTCATTAACTGGTTATAAACATGCCAATTAAAATTAATATTTGACAAGAAAAAATAACCATGGCTATCTTCCTTTTAATTGACGTTAAACGTTCCTTTGTTTTCTAAATCCTAAAAAATAATTCTACACAGTACTCAGAGCTCTGAGAACAGCAGTCACAACTTTGAGCAAAGAATTTATTGCTACATTCGTAGTTCTGAATAATCTGTTGTCAACTAATATGAAACAAAACTCTGATTACTGTCAAAAAAAGTTGTGATTATTTTCTGCAGAGCATTCAGTGCTGTGTGGAGAACTTTCAGAACTCTGGAATTTAATTTTTTGGTTTACGCAGTAGCCAGTGCTGTGAGAAAAAATACTCAGTGCTTTCAGATTTTCTCCGTGTAGTAGATACTGCATGCATATGCTCTATAATAATAACAGTTCTTATTATTTAAAATAAAGGAAATATTGTTTGATTAGAAATATTGACATTTATTTCATCTAACCTAACTGTGCCAAAGGATAATTATTATAATTAAAATATTTAATTTTTGCAGGAATCGACGAATTCGAGTACCTCTACAATGATTCCATTGTTCTTGTGTCCCTTATGCAGTCAAAAGTATCCAACTCTCGAGCTATTGGTGGAACACACAGAAGCTTGTATAAAATAAAAACTCATTTAATTTTACCTTATTTAAATTTCCTAATTAGCAACTGTAAAATTTGAAATCAAATATGTTTAAAAAATAACATTTAGTAATTTTAAAATCCTGTATACTTCTAAATTTATTGAAAATTTACTTTACAAATTATATAAAAGTCGTAATGACAAATACAATATACGTATATATTATGCTGTACAGAATTATTATTGAACCGTAGGAAAACGAAATTTGACTTTGTTTAACTGTTTACCATGTTTACTAAAAATTTTTTTATTATATGGTTCTTATTAGTTATTATTCTTAAGATATTTTTCTTAGAAAAAAGTAATCGTAAAATGAATTTTGCAGGACAAAAATGTAGGTAATATCTTTGTGTAAATATAATATTCTAGAATACCTTCAAATATAATTGTTTTAGAGGTTACAATAAACTAATCAATAAACTGGATAAAAATTTATAATTATTATTTATGAATTTTGTACTTTTCTGAAAAATGAAAATTTTTAAGTGTTGAATTTTTTGTGAAACATTACCATAGTTAATTAACCACTTGTTGAGTAATTAAAAATTTATGAAAATTTTAAAATTATCATATACAACAATAGAAGCATTATTTTAATATTTAAATACGCTGTTGCTTGGAACTTTCTGTGCTAAGAATCTCAAGTTTACGGATTAAAATATTGTCATTGTGCAATATTTAAAAAATAACTTGCCGAAATCCGTTTATTAAGGACGATATTTTTCTCGCTTATCTGTTTACCTAATGAAGTTTGAAAGACATCAATTCTGAGGTTGCAGTTGATATGTCCCGAAGTATGCAATGTGACGTGACAATTTTGGTACGTCACATCCTAGTTTAAAATTGTCTGTCTGTTTGTATGCCAATTTTCTATTCTTTTGACAATTGTTGTCAGTCTAGTCATTGTTCCAAGTATCGAAGAATAGAGAAAACTTTCAGAATTCTTGAATTAATTTTGTAATGTAAATCACGTCATAATTTGATCCGTAAACTAATGTTTTATAGACATTAGTTTTGAATGAGTATTAATGAGTAATTACTCATAGATGTTAATCTTTGGTAAAAATATTTTTTCATTTAGTAAGCATTTTTGAAAAAAAATTTTTTTGACCAAAAAAATGAAACTCAAAAGTAAATTTTACTTTTTCGATGTGAAAGGTACGTTTTTTTCAAAAAGAGCATCAAAAAATCTTTCGAAACTGATATTGATAAAAATTTTTTTTTTGATATTTAAGAAAAAACAATTAAAACAGCGGTGTACCGTAAAACCCCAAAACATTCACCCCCTCGCCGTCGGAAAATATTGGAACAAATGAAAAAATATTTTTCTGAAGATTACTAATCTATATCTAGATGTATGAATGTCTATAGTAAACATAAGTTTAGTACTTCAGATGCTATACCAAATGCAATTAACTGTGAGCACGAGATCCCTCTATTCTTTCGGTTTCTTTTCAATATAATTTTATTAATTGGATAATTGAACGATCTTACCTTGTGAAGTTCAATTAAAATTGCATAAGCGCCTCCTCCGAATAGATCAACTCGCAGTCCCCCTACTCTATGCCAGTGTTGCCACAATTTTAAAGAATAAAAGTAAAAAGGCTGCGCACGCGGCGTACGCGCACAACTTGCTCCTGTGAGGTTTTGTTCTCATTTTTTAAAGCTTGCCGTAATTAATATAATAGGCAAATATCTGAAGAATCGGATAATGGGATAATATTTTATCTATAAGGGTGGGTTTGATCTATTCGGAGGAGGCGCTTATACAATTTTAATTGTACTTCACAAGGTAAGATCGTTCAATTATAAAATTGTATTTCGCACCTCCTCCTCTTAGATCAACTCGTAGATGTTGAAAGCTGTAATGACGGCAAAAAGTAAATGGGAAAAACAAATTTTAATTAAATTTATTTATTACAAAATTACGAAATGAACGGAATATATATATATATATATATATATATATATAAATATATAAATAAAGTACTGATTTATAAGAAAAAAATAAATAGTAGTACAAATAATTTTAAATCAATTTATTTTTAATTAAATTTATTTTATAAATATATTATATATAATTTTTAATAATTTTTTTATTTCATAAGACTGATTATAATAATTAGGTATTAAGTTTTAAGGCCATTTGAAATATTATGACGTAGTAGTCATATGCTTTAACATGGGAATATTGTCAGCCGTCTAATTTTTAAAGTAATGAATATTTTAGTCTAGAAATTTGTGTATGTGTTTGAAATAATACTCTCTATTTATCTTGGGTGCAGGTTATTCGATATTTTATCAGAAAAGGTGTTTTTAGAGAAATTAAAAAGTAAATACAAAGGCATACAAATGAGTGCGCCAGATTGCCTATCGCAAGGCGTTTCAACCATTTGATGAGCATTGCAAATGATAAAAATGCTTAAATAGAGACTTAATTATTTAATTAAATTCAAGCAATTATAAGTAAAATAAAAACAGTTAAATTTATAGGTTAATTATTTTGTTAACCCGTAGTCAGCATTTGCGGGATGAGTAAAAGTTTCACGCAATATTTCTCGACCTATAGGGTGTTGTTGCAGTGTAAATAAAAAAAAATTTTGTGCTGATGAATTATTTAATTAATTAATTTTACAGGTTTTATATTGCAGGTAAGTGTATAATTTCATTTTTATATACAAAAATATGTAATCTAATACTATCTAATAAATTTGATTATTTGTTCACATGTTTTGATGGCATAGAGTATAATCGCTTGCCGTCAGCTGGCTCCCTCGCGTGGGTGGTCATTGACATAAGTTGAGGCAAAATGTATGTTAACGCACAATAGTTTCGTTAACGAGATGCATGCGTTAGAAAAAAGAGATATATTGGTGTCCCTTTCTATATCTTTTAAACCAAGTTCGCAAACCAATTTTGTGCGTTGGACCATAGGGGTATATATTCGTAGAAAAATTTGTATATTTTGACAGAATATCCTGATGTTTGCAGTATTGCAATTGATTTTGAAAATGTTGATTATATTATTTAGTTTTTAATTGACTCTTGAGAAATTCAACTTTAATGTTTTTTGAGGTTAACTCAAAAACTCAGCAAAATGTCATCTTCTATGTATATATTATGTTTGTTGTCTCTCCAGAGATCCAGCTGATCGCTTTTGGCCTAAGCACAATTGAATCGGGTACGCAAGTCGTATACGGGATATGTAAGTTCCTGCGCAACCTTTTTTAATTGTGCGTTGAAAAAACGATTCCGCCAATATTTCGTGCAACCGTTTTTCAACGCACAATTAAAGACAGTTGCGGGAACTTACACATCCCGTATACGACGCTTTTTTTTAGGCCATTTGCTATATTTAAAAATGAAATGCCTAATGCTTATTCTACACTCACCTAAAACTGAGCGAGCGGTCCGCTTTTCCGTGACGCTTCCCATATTTAACTATATCTGTATATATATATATATATATATATATATATATATATATATATATATATATATATATATATAACGTAACGCAAATACGGACCGCTCGCCCAGTTTTAGGTGAGTGTAGAATCAGCATAAAGGCGCCGTTCCATGACAGCGTGAAACGCCGTCGTAAAAGTAGAAAACCTAAGAACAAAAGAGATAGTGAGATATGTTCATCTCTTTTGTTCTTAGGTTTTCCACTTATACGCTAGCGTTTCACGCTGTCATGGGACGGTACCTTTCATGTTTAAGCAGAATGACTAACGTTACAAATACGGATAGGGGAAACATGAGATAGAAAAGGACAGAGACTATCTATGTCATTTTGCAAATACAGATTAGCTGCCTGCCAACGGGCAACCGAGCTGTGACTGCACCTTTAGGCATTTTTAAAATTAAGATATATAATTTAATTATAATTTTTAACGTATATTACGTAGAAAATATCTCATGCGTTAAAAACATCGAGTCACGCGTCTCTGCACAACCATGATTCGCACTGAGGTTGGTTTCACATATGCTAAATTGTACCATTCTGAAGACGATTTTCAAAATTTTCAAAACTCTATATTATACACTTTCGAATGTTGTTAAAGTCAGTTTTTTCATTGCATTTTCATTCTCTCATCCAAGAATTAATTTGCGCTCACCTCTATCTCTATTTTTTCTGAAACACAGAAAAAATATAATAGATAATAAAAACAATAACAAAATAAATAGGAAACATTTAATATTTACTGCAATTATAACAACAAATTAACTTTTTAAATTCAGGTAGGTACAAAAAACGATCTATCTACTCCCGCACAGAAAATCTAAATTAATATCCATTTAAATTATATTTTTCTTTTTAGGATATGCAGCACATTCGTTTTTTATGAATATTAATAAACAATAATAATTAAATTTATAGTAATCTAATCTATGTAACACAAGTCGTTAGTTTTTGTATTGAAAAACGTACATTAATATTTTAAAATTTTTTTTTGAAATTAAATATTTAGGAAGCAGAAAATTTATATTTTGTTTAGAACAGCAGAAAAAAAATATTGTACCTAAATATTTTAAGACTTCGATCTTTAAGAGTATGCCTGATAGTTTTTTTGTTCAAATATTGTTTTACAAGATAATAAATACACTGCAAGAAGTATGTTAATTAAAAAATAGTTTATGTTATTTTTTACTTAAAAATTATCACACTCATCGCTATGTGAAGAATAACATGTTGCACTAAGAAAGCTGAATATACTATACGTATGATTTACTAAAATTATACATTATGTAAATATACATTACCATAAATAAAAACTGAAGATTTCAAAAGTGGAATCCAAGATTGGCATTGAGTCCGTCAATTTTTTAAGAAAACTACAAAGAAATATTACAAAAATCACGATTTTAATTATCTTTTCGATTTCGCATCGCAAACTCCCGAATAAAAGTTAAAAAAATTTTTTTGTCAGTTTTCAATTAAGCCAGATGACCTGAAAAAAGGAAACACGAAATCGAGACATTCCGAAAATCAATTGTTCTTTATTTTGAATCGTAAACTCTTGATATTTTTCGACACTTTTCAATTAAACTGCAAAACTTGCACAAACAACGGCGAAATCGAGATCTTCCGGGAATAAATTCTTTTTTATTTCGAATCGCAATCTCCCGATATATTACGACAATATTGAAATTAAGCTGCA